AAATTATTATTAAGGGTTCATGAAGGAGGGGGGAGCAGAGAGGGAAGGGGAAAATGAGGAGCTGATTTTGGGGCTTAGATGGAGAGCAAATGTTTTGAGAATGAGGAGGGCAATGAATGTACAAATGTGCTTTACATAACTGATGTATGTATGGATTGCGATAAGAGTTGTATGAGCCCCTAGTAAAATAATTTTTTTTTAAAAAAAAGGAAAAAAATACACTAAAGGCAAAAAAAAATTATCACAAATTTTTTTTTCATTTTATAGATGTGACTATTGTGCATTCTTGGCTACTTTATCGTAGAGACTGTGAGAGCTTCCAGTTACAAAAAAAAATCCAAAGGCTGCAAGAGTTCAAAATGAGCATCGCCGAAGCTCTTCTTCTTGAAGGAAAAAGTACTGGACCAACAAAAGAGGCAGCCCGTCTACTAGCCTTACTGATGCTGAGTTCACTACAAAGAGAGAAGAGGTCCTGCCACCAAAAGCATCCCTGGAAGAGACACCCGTTTGGATGGCCTTCACCATCACCCTGACGTCACAAACAGGAAGATGCAAAATGTAAATTGCAAGAGTGCCCCAGTATTTTTCTGCAGCAAATGCAAAGTTCATCTTCGTATCACAAAAGAAAAAAACTGTTTTGTTCAATTTCACACTAAAATTATAAATTTTGTACTATATTTTATAAATAAATTAAAAAGAAGAAGCGGCACTGGCATGGGCAGTCCCGCCTTCTATAAGCTGGCCCACCCCAACCTGTGGCCAGAAACAAAGACTCTTGTGCTCTGATCCAGGGAATACCATAACTGCTTGGGGGGGTGGGGGACACACAAAAAGAAATCAACTTAGAATTAAGGCCAAAAAGTCACCCAAATATAAGCCAGAACACCTCGCTTTCCCACTGCAGGAGCCTCCTGTCACTGCAGATGTTACTCTTTCTACAAATGGACAGTTGGTTGGTGGCAACCCGGCGTCAGGCAAGTTGACTGGCGCTGTTTTCCCAACAGCTCATCCCCCTTTGTCTCTGTGTCCCAACTTGGCAGTCCTCACACTGTTTCAAGCGTGCCCACCCATCCCTCTACTACTGCACACGTGGCCGCCTGTGGGCAGTGTCAGCATCGCTTTCACAGGCGCCCGGGAACCAAGCCCGAGAGCCGTGGGCCGGCAAGAAGTGAGCCCACACTGTCTCCGCCACGTAAAGTCATAAAAGTCTCATAGAGTCACAAAAGCTGTGCCGTACAAAGGTAAAGAAGTAGTCCCGGTAGGCGAAAGGTCCGAGAACCTCTCATTCCAAGAGCTTCTCCCCACTGCTTGTTCATCCTCACCCCTCTGTGACTGAGAGCCAAATCCGAGCAGAACGTCTCAGGGGAAAGTGACGGTGCCCCTCACAAAGGGCCCCCTTTATGGACAGCAGAGACAGGGTTTAGGCGGGGTCGGGGGGAGTCCACAAGAGAACCAGGAACCCCACAGCTTACCCAAAGGACGTGGTACCAGACGGAAGTGCCTCCAAAGTCGATGTGGAAGTCCGTGTAGCTGTCCTGCACACCCATGAGGCAGTACTTCTGGACAAATGGCTTAGGGAAGACGGAGTCATCTGGCCAATAGTTTTCCACCCAGGACAGTTTCCTGGCTATATCCGGGACCTCCACCAACTCAGACATCCTTTACAAAAAACAAGCCCAGCACATACAGCACCCATCTCACCCGAACCCTGCGATGACCTGGCACACAGGTCAACAGCAAAACTCAGGTTTGCAGCACTCTGAGTTCTTAGTGTCCTCCCACTGCGACCTTGGGGCCCATAAGAGGCCAGAGGGCTTCTTACTAAGCAAGCAGATCGTTAGACTCCCTTTACACGACCCCCACCTCACCCGACCAGACTGTGGGTGCAAGCTGGGCTGCTAACCTCAAGGTCAGCAGTCTGAACTTGAACGTGAGACTTTCTGCTCCTGCACAGAGTGGCCGTCTCAGACACCCCGGGGCAGTTCTACTCTGACAGGGATGGTCGCTGTGAGTCAGAAATGACTCAATGGTAGTGATAGAGGGGGTTAAGGGACATCACAATGATAGACCAAAATGTCCCACCTAATCCCTTAAAGGACACCCTCAGCTCTGGGCCAGGTTGCCCCCACTACTCACTTGGTGTCTGAAAACTCCAGGCTGATTACATTCAGCACTTTGGGCCTGTGAGGGTTCATGAAGTAGGTGACGTAATTGTGCAGCGTCATTTTGCTGTCTGCCTGCCTTGCCACATCAATGACATCTATCACCTTGCCACCACCTGCAGAGAGAATCAACCAGTGGTTGGCTTGGGGCTGACATGAGCAGGGGTCGCCCATGCCAACGTCATAAAGGCTCATTTACTTTCTAGGACAGTTCAGCCATTGAAAACCTGCCTTGGCTTATGAACATTCTACCCGGTCCTCGTCCCCCCACCCCACCCCCATGACCACCTGCGGCAGCGCACACTGCCTGGGAAGAGTGGGGTGCTCCAGGGGCCTGCACTCCTCATTCATAAAGTGAGTGCTCTCCCCTCCTCTATAACAACTAAGATTCAAGCCACCCCCCTTTCACACAAGGCCAGTCCACCAGCTGTATGGCCAGACCTCGCCTCCTCCTGGACATCAGGTTACCAGAGAGCACCCGTGAGCAGGAAGCAGACCAGGGCCTGCACACAGGCATTGGGAGCTCTGAGCATGAACATGCTACATGACCCCAGCTTCGCAGCACAGCGTGGGAGGGATGGGCTTCAGCACCTGATCTGAGGGGAAGGCAGCAGATAAATGCCTGCTCTGCTTTAAAGGGCTCTGACAAGGGCTGGGAGCGTGCTCCCTAACCAGCTCCTTTATGTACCTCTGGCAGGAAGGCAGCCCTGTCACCGCCTTTTCCTCAGGGAGACACACACCTTGGAGCACTGAAGATTAGCTACCGCCAATGAAGACCCTTTTCCCTGAGCTTATTTTAAGAAGCCCTGGTGGCCCTGCGGGTCAGGTGTTGGTCAGGTGATGGTGCAGGCCCAGCAGCTGCTCCTCAGGAGAAAGATGAGGGCGTCTGTTCCTGTTGAGGTCCACAGTCTCACAAATGCTCTGAGTCGGAACTGGCTCAGTGGCAGTGGGTATATCTGTGTAAGTGAAGTCTCTTATCCCCGGGGCTGGTAAGGCTATGTTGCAGGGTACAATACATCATCTCATCCGGGATCTCATACGCAAAACTAACTGACTGACTGGGGGTGGGACAGGTAAGTGGAGCTCCCCCAAGAGGCGGTCAGCAATGGGGCGTGTCAGCTGCTGGCTCCACGAAGGGGCAACATGTGCTGGTGAGTTTACGATTGGGAGCCATGGCAGGTGTAAGAGGGAATCTTCCAATCGGCTCTGCATCGCTGCAGGGATTCCCTCCACCCACCACCCACCGCACCTGCCAGTAGCAGGGTAAGAACAGAGGACTCGCCTGGGCAAGTCAACGAGGGGGCCACCGAGGAAGCACCCTGGCCTGGTTTGTCAAGTCTTTCTGGGCTTCGACATCAGACTAAGTCCGGCAGTCATTGCAGGGCAGCATTCACTAAGGCACTAACAAAGGTAGGCTTACGGCGGTCTGGTCTCCCTCAAGAAGCAGCCCTGGTGGCACAGGTCTTGGCTTACAAGTTGGGCTGCTAACTGCAAGGTCAACAGTTCCAAACCACCAGCTTCTCCTTGGGAGAAAGACAGGCTTTCTACTCCCGTAGAGTTGCAGTCATGGGAAATCACAGAGCCATTCTACTCTGTCCTACAGGGTCGCTGTGAGTCAGCCTGACTCCAGCAGTGGGTCTGGTTCTTTCTCGAAGCAGCCGCCGTCTACTAATGGGGGTCCAGAGGACTAATGACAGTAGACTACAGTGGAAAGCTGGCCGAGAACCTCATCCTGGGGTCTACCAGCCTAGAGACAGACCGATGGCTAGATGTCCACTCGCCCTGGTCCCTGGCTCCTCACCTCACTCATAATCTACCGGCGCCGCACCAGCAGATGAGGAGGCTGAAGGGGATTCATCCTATCTAGCTAACAACAGTAGGTCTGCCAAGAGAAAACGGTGTATTTGTTTTCTCTCAGGCACAAGAAACTGACCTAAATCAACACGCCTTCACTTGCCATTTAATGCTAATGGGCCCCCAGTCAATCTTCCCTGACCAGGTTTCCCCAAGGCCGTGGAGGGGTCCGGTTCGTACCTACGTAATGTTCCACATCCATAACAGAAAAGGTGGGTGGCGGGAGCCTGAGCCCTAGGTCGTCTAACTTGGGAACCACGATAGGGACATCGAAGCCGTGCTTCTCCAGGTATCTGTGGGTCAGCTGGCCGCCATGCATCTTCACGAGGACTTCGTCGGCACTGAGGGAGACAAACGGGTCAGAGGGGAAAATGTCATCGCTGCTGAAAAGACAGAAGACTGAAAGAAAAAAAAACACAGAAGACTGTGTAGCGGATTAATTAGCATAGGTCTGCGTTGCCTGTTATTCTTTATACTGTGCATCTTACTGACGTTGTTGCACTGCAATGTGGTGGGTTCTCAACCTATTGTGCCTAATTCTACTTTTTATAACAAATGGTATGAAAATTCCCTTGCAGTCTCCGAACATCAAGCCCATCGTCATAAAGCTACTTACCCACTCCACACAACTGGAAGTAAAGCCCTACCCAGGAGAAGCCGCTGTTGCCTCAGCGTGGGACAGGAGGTACCGCCCTGCTCTGCAGGGCTGGCCTGCCGCTCAGGTGGCCGCCCGGCCTCCCAGCCTGCCACTCCCCTTGGCCAGAGTCTTGTTGGACTTTCTCTGCACCAAGACTTCCACTGAACAAAGCGCAGGGGAGGACAACCCCTCATTCAGAACCCCTCGCCCACTTCTGCATTACTCGTGTGGCAGAGGGGCAATCTGCACACGTGTGTTCCTTGACTCTATTTTACAGCGATGCAGTGTGTGGAGTCCGACAGAATAAAGCCAGAAGACCTTTAATTGACAGTAATTACAGGTGCCACCGACTGTCCCTTGCCATTTGCGGTGGCAGAAAGCCACGTGTGTCATTATCTAGTTGGTGGGGGAGGCGCACAAGCCAACTTGACAAGAGATCTAGGAGAGCTCGGCGTCTCCTGGCTGGCAGGCTGGCGTTCACACAAGGACACGTTTAGGATGCTCAGGCCACTCCGGAGCTGCTCACGGGCCCAGGGCTTGGCTCCAAAGCAACTGAGTGCTTCCCAATAAAGGAGCGGTGCGGACGGGGCTGGAGTTTCCTGGGGTGTGGGACCTGTTAAAGGGGGATATGTGGGAGCAGGGCCTGTCTGCTTCCTCTCCTCCTATCATGCCTTCTTTGAGGTGTCAGGATGAAGGAAAGGGACCAGTAAGAATGCTACCGATCTCGAATCCACAAACCAGCTGATGCCGGTTTAAACTGTGCGCCCCTGTGCCCAGCCTGGCAGCGATCTCTGACAGAGGGCTACAGGGCATCGGCATTTTAACTACAAGTCAGTAACGAGCAGGAAATGGTCTGAAGGAGCAGGAAATGGTCTGAAGGAGCAGGATTCAATGCTTTCTGATGCTTCTGAATCTACCCCCTGCCCTTCTTCAAAAGGCCCAGGGACCGGCAGCAGCCATGGATCCTTCCAGGGGAGCCCAGTACATACACAGACATACCAACCTCAGGAGAGAGGAGAGTTGGGTGACAGAGGTGAGGTGAGAGAAAGGGAAGGAAGAGCAGCATCTAACCCGCCTGAGCTCATGCAGACGTGGGGACCACGACCCACCGTGGAGAAGTGACTGACGGTGGTCACCTATGGGAAGCGCACTTCAGGGATGCTATGACACAGTGCTAACTGCCACCACACAGCGAGCGCCTCGGATCCTGGGGTCTCCCAGGGCACAGACAGGTCACAGTGGCACTCCTGGTGAGAGTCTGAGGCCGAGGAGAGGGAACGCGCCCACATGGGACACAGGGGCACGAGGTGAGTTCATGCTGTCGGAGAAAGGGCACCCAGACTTGCTTGAGGCAGGGCTGCCCCGACCTTCCATTGTAAACCACCATGCTCTCTTACAGCGGGGACAGGCGGCTTTGCTGCTGAAATACTCGGATGGAAGCCCCACGAGCCCCTACCACTTGCTATGATTCTCTTCTGTTTCATCAAACAGGAGAGTGAGAAGCTGGTCGGGGTGAATGATAGGCTGGCAAACTGAAGCTTGCAAAGCCCTGCTCCCAATGCCCACCCAGCCCCCGGCCCGAGCGCACCTCGGGAAGACTCGAGCGCGCAGCTCCCGCACGAAGGCCCGGGTCCCGGCCTGCACCGGCGCCGAGCCATCGTCCGCCTCTGTGCAGTCATGCCGGTGCCAATTCCGCCGCTCCTTCACTGCAGGGGCGACAAGGGGAAGGGAACAGTGACAGTGTGCCCTTCCTGGGACACAGGCAGCCATCACAGAGGCAGACATGATTAAAAAACAAAGACACATGGTTTGGGGGCATTGGGGGCGCATGTCCAGGCTAGAAGTGGAGTGTCCCAGGCCCTCTGGGCTCCCCACAGCTCCTACTCGCCCTTTAATGCTATGGAAATTTGCCTTCACTTGGAAACTGTTGAAACAACTGCTCCCAACAAAGTCTGGGGAGCTGTGCTGTGACTCTGCGGGAATCAGACAGCCTCCTTTGACTCCTAAGTTGTAGGGAAAGGGAACATTTTGTGTTTCGATTGCAGGTGCCTGAGAAGCCAAGAAAACACATTTAAGCATTGGCTGGCTTTCTGAAAGTTACCTCAAATGGATTCTGTCTTCCCATGGTAAGAGTAAAGCCTGAATTCACAATATTGAGGGCAGTTACTGGTGAAACAGGCAATCATGAAGCTTCCTGGGAATGGGCCACACTGGGCAGCAAGCAGGACGGACTGAGCAGCACAGGGACGGAGGGAGCCTGAGTCCAGATCAAGCAGGTGGCTGGGCTGAGTCCTTCTCAAGGGTGCTCTGAGCTGGACTTCCACATGCAGAAAGAGGCACGGGAAGGCAGGGAAGGAGGCCTTCGCCTCTCTGACACAGACCACGGCCCCTTCTTGTAGGGTTCGTGGACTCCGGCTGGTGAGCCCAACGACTTCATAAGCAAAGGAATCTCATAGAGCACATAGAGTGGGTGGCACCTCATGTAGACCACACATGATCGTTAAGGACTGCATGATCCTACCTCCCATTAGTAGGCCACTGGAGATCCCCTTGCAGAGGGGTCTCGGGGAGGAGATGAGCCAGTCAAGGTGCGATGTAACAACGATGGAAAATACAACTTTCCTCTAGTTCCTAAATGTTTCCTCCCTGCTCCCACTACCATGACTCGAATTCTATCTTGCAAGTCTGGCTAGACCAGAGGATGTACACTGGTACAGATAGGAACTGAAAATACAGGGAATCCAGGGCGGATGATCCCTGCAGGACCAGTGGTGTGAGTGGCGAAAACAGGGAGGGTAAAGGGAGAATGGGTAGGAAAGAGGGAACCGATTACAAGGAACTATATGTGACCTCCTCCCTGGGGGATGGACAACAGAAAAGTGGGTGAAGGGAGACGTCGGACGGGACAAGATATGACAAAATACCAATTTATAAACTATCAAGGGCTCATGAGGGAGGGGGGAGCGGGGAGGGAGGGGAAAAATGAGGACCTAATGCCGGGGGTTTAAGTGGAGAGAAAATGTTTTGAGAATGATGTACAAATGCGCTTTACACAATTGATGTGTGTATGGATTGTGATAAGAGTTGTATGAGCCCCTAATAAAATGATTTTTAAAAAAAGTATGGCAGAGAAGTCAGCTCAGGGAAAAAAAAAAAAAGGACTGCATGATCCCACTTCATAATAACCACTGTGTGTTTCTGAGACACGCAGTCCAAATGACCATGTTTAGGTATATATAAATTCTAAAAGAAAACATATACATTTTAGTTCAGTTTCCTTTGAGGAGACAATCCAATATGATTGACTTCCTCCAAGAACGACCTTGATCAATAACTATATCGAATTACATAATACATACTGAGTGCTATGAGGCACCGGATACACACAACACTTTAACAACCTGCTAACCCTCCGTTCTTCCCCTGTGAAACAACTAGAGCATGTGTCTTTAGGGGACACTTTCATGCATTCCGATAGCTTGAATTTCCATCTTTCCTCTAAGGAAAATGGAGAATGTTACCAACCAAACAGATAAAGCAGTCAATTGCTAGTCTTTTTGAGCACAAAGCCCTTGGTTTGTGGTCTAAATTTTTGAGAATGAAATAATTATAACATAACAAAGCCTTTCAAATAAATTCTCTGCTCTCACAACTGAAAATGACATTAATATTCCGATGCATTCTTCTGGGGGAAACACAAACTGGCAAAGCCCACGCTGTAGCCCTAGACTCAGTGCCAACTCTGGAGTGAGCGAGAGCACAGAGCTGCCCGCGGGGAGGGGGTCGGGCCGCATCTTCATGACAGCAGCCGGCCAGCACGATGGGGAAACTTAGAGTCAGGTTGGTGGTCCAGTGTACACCGCTTGAAGTGCTCCGTGACAGATACTCATGAGCACTAACTACGATTGTTACTGCACTGGGACATTTGTAAAAGGCTCCCAGTAAATACTGCCCCATGTCCTGCTTCCTGGCTGGGCAGGGGGGTGGGTACACTCGCAGTCTCTCTGGAGGAAGAATGCAGGGACAGGCTTAGTCTGGCCTCCTCCTTCCTCTTGGTCTGCACCCTCCAGAGACCACCTGGGAGCAGCTTCCAGTACAACAGGTGACTGGGAGCCACCATGGCCATATTCCAGTGAGGAAATTACAGAAAATCTGACATTTTCAATGATTCCTATGCTAATTCTCCACTCAACCTTCCTCCTGCCTCAACCCTTCCACACAGTTCCTCGTGTGATGCTGACTCCCCAACCATACAATTATCTTCGTTGCTACTTCATCACTGTCATTTTGCTACTGTTATGAATATAGCAGTATAAAAGCCATATAAGCAATTGAAATAAATTTCTAGAACCAAAAAAAATCCTCTACCCCACTTCACAAATTGAAAGCTGTGGAAATATGAAAAGGTTTGCAAAGTTTGATGGAAATGGAATAAAACAACAGAATTGTATGTGAATGGATATATTGAACTGTGTAAGCCAGGGCTCCTCAAACTTTTAAAACAGGGGGCCAGTTTCACTGTACCTTATCGACAGTTGGAGGGCCAGACTATAGTTTAAAAAAAAAACTATGAACAAATTCCTATGCACACTGGACTAGTGGGCTGCTAAGCAGAACAGGCAGCAGCGGCAAAAACACCCGGCTGGCCAGATAAATGTCCTCGGTGGGCCACATGTGGCCCGCGGGCCGTAGTTTGAGGACCCCTGGTGTAAGCTATGGGCGGAAAATTATAGGAAAAATAAAATAAGGTTGATGGGGCATGGGTAGAGTGAGGGAGGGAGGGGATAAAAGGGAGCTATACCAAGGAGTTCAAGAAGAAAATGTTTTGAAACTGATTGTGATAGCAATCGTACAATACTGCTTGATGTGACCTGAATTATGGAATGTTATAAAATCTGTTAAAGCTCCCAATAAAACAATACATTAAAAGATAAAAAATTTGATGGAAAAATGGAATGAAAAGATAATAGCATTTTCCCCAAAACTTTTTGAAGCCCTCTAGAAGGTATTTGCTTGCTCTGGCTAGTATGAATGATGGCATTTTAAACCTCTAGACATATACACATTTGGACTAAAAAAGCCTTCTGGATCTGTCCGCCAGCCCCCTCCCCGGCGCCTAGGTTGTCCCTCATGGAGTGAAGCCGACTGTCCGTGCATCTGCTCTGTCCTTACTCCGGGAGGCGCCATGGAGGACTGCGCAGGTGGGGCAGTGGTAGAGGTCGATGTCGAAGGCATGGTGCTCCTCCACCCCGACACAGCTAGGAGAGAAGACAGTCTGGGTCAGTCGCTGGACAGCGCCAAAATTTGACAGAGCCACGCAATCCCTCCCCTCACAGAACCACACACTGGGTGCAGGGTGGGTTTTAGTTGTCAACCGGCCGGTAGGCAGCGCAGGGTGTAACCCACAGCGCCACCAGGGCTCCTTGACTAACATGGAGAGGGGCGGACAAATGGGAACCTGAGTTGCTGTGCGTTCTTTCACCACACTCAAAATACTATTCAAGAAAACCCGACACCGACATTTCTCCCAGAGGCCCAGTGTCATTAGTCATCAGATAAACGCAAACTGAAGCAAAGCGAGGCACCACTTCACACCCACCAGAGGGGCAATACAGAGCACAGACGTGGGAAATTAGGAGCCTGTGTTGCTCATGGGAACAGAAAGTGGTGTGGATGCTCAGGCCATGAAAAGGAAGCGTGTAGATGCTCAGGCCATGAAAAGGAAGTGTGTGAGGACTTTATAGATTGGTATCGGACATATGGGCTAACAGTGGACTTATGGACTTGATCCAGACTGGGCTGTTTTCTCAATAATCAATTGCTCTTGTATATAAAGCTCTTTCTTATACAAAAAGAAAAAAGGGAAGCACATACCAATACTTGATGGGCAGGACCCCAACGGAAAACCGTGCCCGAAGTGAAGGAAGCTGTGTGCCAAGGCACTTCCCACCTTCTCTCTCCCTTTCCCGAGAGCTTGAGCAGACCAGTGGCCGCTGCTAGGGAGCCGGGGCTCCTTGTGCAGGGTGAGGGGAATGTTCCACAAGCAGACAGTGGTGAGTCCATGAAAAAACCCCGAGCTGCAGACTCGGATTCTAAAGGCCGTGCGTGTGCATCGCAATAAGCTGGACAACACTTACCAAGTAAGATGGCATTAAGTGTAATACTGGGGACAGAGGTGAATCAAGGATAACTGGCCAGTGGTCTCTTCCAAAGTCGTAAAGCACAGCTGCACAACCCACTGTAAGAGATCCATTCTAGGGCTTTACTACCCTTGCTCCCAAGCACATCCCGAGGGCCCATGCTTATGTCCGGAAGCAGGGCTGTGGGAGGCACACACACGGCCCCTGATTTCTCAGGCCAGTGTCAGAAATACTGAACTGTGAGGACGCGGAGGCAGAAAGGGGCACACCAGCACAGGAAGGCTGTGGGACTGGATGGGGAAAGGGCAGCATGCTGGGTACGTGGCAGGGGAGTGAGGAAAAGAAGGGAACACTTCAATCCGCTCCTTTTGGGAGACTGACTGTCCAAGGTCACTGGCGCACGTGACCTGGGTGACACTGGCTCTGCGCCAAGGAACTTGGCCTGACACCGCCCTGCACAGTCCAGCCAGGTGATCTTCCCTGCAGGGGGCAGGGGTGGAGGGGGTGGAGGGAGAACAGGGGCACTGGGGTTGAAGAGTTGGCAGCACATTAGAAGGGAGTTGAGGGGACCTACAAGGGGACTGGTATTGGAATGGACCATGAAATCTATGATGGACAAGTAGGGACACCGGCTGAGCAGCGGTGGGAAAGTGGCGGGTGGCCCTGCAATCCACCTGTGCCAGGGTGCGGTGAGGAGAAGCGCTGGGCTCGAAGTCCACCATGTAGATTCTGAAGCTGCCCGTGGGTCCCCTGGGGTGGTCCTCAGCCCTGACAGAGTCCAAGCGCTCAAGGACACCATCCATAGCACTCTTCTCTGCCCCTCCAGCCTGGGGAGGGCTGCACCCACCGCAGCGTGCTGGCACACAAGGTCATAGAAGCCAGCGGGACCCATGTTGCAGAGCTCCGTGGGGCCCAGGGTGTGCATTTGCTGGACCCGGACCATGTCCCTCACTCTTGAAGAGCAATGGTTGCACCGAAAGAATGGAAGGGACCCACATGGGGTCCAAAGTTAGGTCTTTCAGACGAAACCCAAACCGGCCTATATTTTAAGCTCACCTTAATGTACCTAAGGTTCACAAATTAAGGTAATTCCCACACGGCTCAAATCAGGTTTAGGGAAGAAAGAGGTGAGGGGTAACTAACGTTACCAGCAAGGACATTCTGGACACAGAGACCTGGGTTCCTGTCCATCTCCTGCTCCCACCTCCACCCTCCACCCTGATTGTCATAGCCAAAACACCTATAGCTGCCATGATTGAAAACCTTCAAAACAATGGCAAATTTGGTAAGTGAGTCAATCTTTCAAAAGAATCATACCAAATGCAATTTTAAAAAATCACTGACCCTCACATCGCCGTCTTCCTGAACTCAGAAGGTTACTTCAGGTCTCTGAGGAAGGAACCTCCAGAGAGGCCAGTTCCGATCAGAGTGAGTCGTCCACTCTGTCCTCGCCCACACCCCCTCCCCCTGTTAAGAACATTCTGGAATCAACACACATATGCTAAGAGCACAAGCTGGGAGGCAGCCACTGAACGACTGGGAAGCAGATTTGGTGAGAACCACTTTCAAATCTGGAGCGGAACTTTCAGTCACTCCCCTCCACCTATTTCTCTCATAGAAGCTGCTCTTGATCCAGCAATCACCACGCCTCCAGAGCAGACAGCTGTGTGCACGTGGGGAGGGGATCCCTGTAGGGGAGGCTGTGGGGTGTTCCCTGGTAGGGGCTGACAACCTGGTCTCTGCTGAATAGCCCCAGCAGTCTGTCCCTGTGTGAGGAGTGGAATGGCGGCCACTTAGCCCTTTCATTGTCTTCTTCCACCCAAATTGGTGCCGAGCCGAGGGTTCTTTTTCCTTTATTCTGACACTTAACAAAATTCAACTAATGACTAACCAGAATTCCTTGGGGTCAGCCAAACATTCCCTTTTTCCCTTCTCTGGCTAATGTCACCATTCACATTCTCTCCTCTTGGTGTTGGAAGGCTGGGTGGTCAAATTCTTTAGGATCTGCCGGTGGGCTTCATTAGATAGTCCTCACCCTTTGAATGTGCTCCCTGCCCTTCACCAAGCCGCCTTTCAGACTCCCTCTCCTGCATGAGACCCCTCACAGAGAGCCCTCCCACAGGTCACTGGGGCCTGATGTTAAACTACTTCCTAGGCCCATGGCTGAGCGGAGCTCGTAAGTGCACAGGACCAGGTTCCCAAGCCAGAAACCATGCTCACTGCCACTGAGTCTCTTCTGAGTCATGGTGCCCTACAAGAGACAGAGAGCTAGCTGTCCCATAGGGACTAGGCTTTTATTTATGACCAGTGATCCGGCAAATAGGTGCCTTGTTAAACGAATATTAAGTGAGACAAGACTTTAATCAGAATTTTGCAAGTCGCCTCAGGGAAGACCAAGCTAGTTGTAAACAGTATTGATTCATAAAAACTTGTTGGAGGACATCTGTAATCACAGCAGGCCTGCCAGGTGGTCATTGGCCCAACTGGAAAGGCACCATCGGGCCATAACTTGAAAAGTTATAGCAAAGGTGGGCAGGACCCGCTTATCCCACACAGCTTAGCGTGACAAGATGCACAGATAGAACGTTTCCCAGAGTCATCTCTGACCCCAGTCTGGCCTCTTCTCTGTCCTCTCCCACATCACCCTGTGCGGCTGAAAACGACCTCCCGTTTCTGGTTAGCCAGCAGCATCCTCTCCCAGACACTGACAAACACCATCTAGCCTCTTGACTCAGAGTCTCTTGTGTCTGCGAATTCACTCTCGCTGGACCTCACGCCAACACTCGGATGAGTCAGTGGGGCTTCTGGGAAGTGGGGAAACCTGAGCCGCCTCTGCGCCCGCCCGTTTCCCTGGGGGCAGAACAAAGCGACACTGGGCCTCCTCGTTTCTGCTCTCAGACCGTGAACAAGTGTCCTTTTCGCAGCCCATTTAGGGTCTCGGTTTCCACAGTGCTGGGCTCTTTGTGGGCGGCTTTGTTGTTGGAAACCAGCCCCCTTGCCGGCTCATGTCCCCAGCGAGGCAGAGAAGGCTGTCATGTGCCTTCAGAGGCAGGCACATGGGCGTGTGTCAGCCGGGCTACTGGCAGGCAGGCAGGCCTGGCTACAAGCTCAGTGGAACGCAACAGGACAGAAATTTTAGCAGAAACAAGGGGAGACGCACTAGATGTTGATGGAATTGTTACGGGGACACACACACACACACACACACACACACGAATGAAAAGAAGCCCCACCTTTCTCCTGGAGCAAACCTTCAAGATTTTCTCATCCACCAATGGGATTCACTTCAGAAGGTACAGAATCACCTCTCAAAATGAGTGGACCGTGTGCACACACACACTGCCCAGCACAGGATCCTGACTGAAACTTTCTACCCAGTAACTGCAGCTGAGAGACACTGTACACACAAGCTGTGGGATGGCCCAAGTCTGAAGCTTGGTCAGTTCCATGAACCCCACTGCTGGGTACATGTCTGTGCATGACCATAAAGTACCCCAAGTACTGACTTGGGAGCTATAAGTAAAGTTCAGTGAGTAGGCCCACTTGTAAATATGGGGTCTTCCAAGAATGAGGAGGGGGCCCGCCATGCTCTAAGTGCGAGCCTTCCTTGAAGGTGGCTTAACAAGCAATCTGGGGTTCTCTGCTGCTCAGCCCTGGGCCCTGAGAACTTCCACATGCGGCTCGTAGGTGACTTCCAGAGACTGAGGCAGCTCTGCGAGGCCTGGTTCAGACCAGTCTGTGTGACATGCCCTCGTGTGCATGCCTGACTGACTGCACATGCACAGCCTCGTCTGCAAGGATGTGCAAGGTCCTTGCTGGTCCCAGCATGGGACTCGGGACAGACAGTTGTACAGATGCCTATTTGAAAAACAGAAACATCCATTCCTGAGCCCCATCCTCGCTCTGGTGGGAAAAATTACTGGGTAGAGCCCAAACTCCAACTCAGAACCATGGCCACTGAGCCCACTTGGAGCCACAGCGCCCCTGTGGGACAGTGACTGTAACTCTTTACAGGGAGAAGGCGGCCTCCGCATGGAACCAGGACTCCTTCCAGGGGGTGGTCCAATCAGCTTTCTTTTAACAAGTTCCCCAGATGGTTCTCCTGCAGCCAGGTGGGCAGGGAGGTGGCTTTCGTGCCAGTGCACTGTCACCTGAGCACAGTGGGGAGCTCCCTGGAGAAAAGGCTGAGATTCGATCATCAAAACCTGAACCTCCCCAGCAGATTTACCCAGGGCTGAGCACAGAGCAGAGCCTCCCTAAGACTGGACAGGCTGACCCAAGTTGACATGCTGGGCGGGAAAATACGGAGAAGGGGTCGGCCCTTCCCTTGGAGAGCTCGTTTGGAAGGCCCATGCTACCTGTCGAGGGAAAGAATGCCATGTTCCAGCCGCCCATCTCGACATAAGAAGCGTACAGAGCGTGCCTACCCTCCACATGACGGATTTATGACGCCATCTACTTCAATGCTCTTTCACATACCCTCCCCAAGTGTCTTTGGGTTTTCCGAAAAGGAGACGTACTGACAGAAAGACTAACTACATGATGGACAAAAATAAATATATGGATGCTGAGCAAGTGGCCCATCAGTGGTCAGCAACAGCCCAGGCTGGGGGGCAGTTTCATTTTCAGTGTGAAGACAGGAAGCTCACCCTCCCGGCACCTGCTGAACCATCACTCTTGGACCAGAGAACAGCTCGTCCAGAACCGCTCTATCCGGACACTCAGCAGTGAGCTGCCCACTTCCCAAGGGGGGCTTTTGGATCTCAGTGCTGTCAGGTCCATAAAGCCCATTTTGTCAGCCCTCTTCATTTCCACAAGCAGTCAGGGGGCGGGCCTGACCTGGCATGCTGGAGAGGGACCACGAACACGGCCAAGCATGCTGGAACTGTGCCAGGTCATCTTCATGAAGTAGGGCAACATGACAAGTGTTCCTTTCAAAGTGACCTTTAAAATATCTGTCAAAGCATTGACAACTAACTGTCTTACGACCACTTATAAAGTGTAAGAAAATGGAACAGAGTAGTAAAACCTATTCACTTAGGACTCTGCAGTTTACATTTCTGTCCTGAAGCCTCACTTAGCTGCCTGCAGTGAACCCACTGCCAGCAATTCAGCTCTGACCCCCAGTGGCCCTGTGCTAGCATCGAGGAGAATGCCCGTGGGGTTTCCTAGGCAATAAGGAAGATCACGAGAGAATCAATATGCTTGAATGATGGTGCTGACAAACAATACTGAAAGTCGAACAACCAGATCCGATCTGTCTCAGAAGACACTCCTTAACCACCACGATGGCAAGATTTGGCTCACCTACTGTGGACAAGTCACCAGGAGGGAACACCCTTGGAAAATGACATTGCACTTGGTAAAGTAGAGGAGCAGCAAATAAGAGGAAGAACCTCAAGGAGATGAACCAGCCCAGGAGTTGCAACAGTGGGCTCAATGCAGGAATGCTTTGATTGTGAGGCTGGCACAGGGCCAGGCAGTGTTTTGTACTGTGGCACTTGGAGTCATTTGGAGTCAGAAACCAGCTGAGGGCCCCCCAGTTACGACGACCACTATGGAGGCTGATCAATAAGTCTTGTGCCCGAGGAGTAACCAGGGGGTTCAAAGTGTCCACCTGCTGGTTGGCAGCCACATGCTTAACCACTGTGCCACTAGTGCTCCTTGCTACCCAATCCAAGCCCTGGCTATCAAGTCAATTCTGACAATGATCCTGCAGGACAGAGATATACTCTCCCCACCCACACCTCAGGGTTTCCAAAGCCATAAATCTCTACAGAAGGTAGCTGCCGTATCTTTCACGCCCAGAGCCACTGACGTCTCAAACCCTGGGCCTCTCAGTCAATATCTGAGTGCTTGATCTGCTGCATCACCAGAACTCCTACTACTTTCCTACCAGGAAGCTCTGGAATCAGGGTGTGCCATGGCAGCTCTTTCTTTCACGACTCCAGCAGGCTCAATGTCAACTCTGGCCTTTGGCATCTCTGCAGCACTTTCACCTTTGTTGGGCCATCCCTCTGTCCCAGGGGCTCAGCACTAGGAAACAAGGCAGCACCACTGCATGCGTTCCTCCTGTCTGAGGCACAGACACACATCTGTTACTAGCACAGTGACACGGCTGGAGCCTGATGGCACTGCAGGGAGTACAGCCCCGGCCAGGTCTGACATATGAGCTGGGGGCTGGGGGGCGGAGGACTGTGGGGACAGCTCCCGAGCAAAAGTTTGTGTTCCGCTGGCCCCCTGACGGGCAAGCTACACCATAGAGTCCCAGAATCACAAGAAATGGGAGGCATTGGGCTGGGAGGAGGTCACTTCTACTTCCAATGGTAACTGTGCACTTTGCCCTTTCAAGATGGGGGTCGAGCATAGGTGGGAAATGCTGCGATTGACCTCGGCCGGCCCATTCCTTGTCCTCACGGTTCCACGGTGCAGCGGTTAGTCCCACCTCGGCTTAGTGTTCCAGAAATTGATTTTCTGACTGCCTGCCATGAGTTGATAATGCACTTAATGTTTTTACAATTAAAGTACCAATGAATCAAGGGTATTAGAAAACCAGCCCTTACTACACAGACGACCACACTGGTACATGTGTCCACAGAGCAAGGCCTCAGAGCTGAGGAAGCCACAGGCGGTGCGTGGATGTGCCTGAGGAGCCCACATCGCATCAGGTGAGCACCGTTCCCTGAGCAAGCTAGGGGCCGAGTGCACCTATCTGGAAGGGGGTTTTCCAGTTTTCTCAAAGACAAGCCCTGCCAGGGAGTTCCACGGCACTCTGGTCAGCCAGCTGGTCTTCTCAAATTGTCAAATTACCCACATGCCCAGGCCATCCTTCCTCTCGAGCCAGCCGCTGGCCTAGTGAGGGGATTCAGAGCTACGATCACACCCAAGCACCCTGCCCTCTGCAGGTGTGGCCTGGCGACCATGTACAACAGAAGGAAGCCCTGCGCCTTTCCCAGCCACATGCCAGTCCATCTCTTCGAAGGTCTTCCTTTCCACTGACCCGTCACTTCTCCAAGCATGATGTCCTTCTCCAGAAACTTGGCCCTTCTGATGAGGTCCAAAGTACGTGACATGACATCTCGTCACCCTTGTTTCTAAGCAACGTTCTGGATATACAGATTTGTTTGTTCTTCAGGCAGGCTAAGGCACTCCAAGAAGAAAGGCCTGGACATCTATTTCTGAAGATCAACTGATCCTAAGGTCCACAGTGGTTTGATCTGCCACCAGCCATAGAGTGGGTGCAGG